TTTTCTCCACCTCACTATTACCACAGTTCTTGCAAAGGTCAGATTTGTTAATCTTTTTTTCTCATTTTTCATTCTAAATCTTTCCAACACACCCAATTCAAGTTGTTCCTCTTTATCTAAAAGATCTCTCACAGGTGTCTTGCTCTTTTTCACACCTGTTCATGTTTCATTCACCATTGTGCCTTCCAGTATTCTGTTCTAGAAATATCTTTTGCCTTGTCACTTCACTGTTCCTTAACTGTTGGGGGACTGTTACTTACTGGTTGTTTTTATTCATGGTTGTCTTCTCTTTGTGATAGTTTCCAAAGAGCTGTATTTCTATTTGTATGCATAATGCCTCTGAACTTTCAATTTCAGTTACATGCTGCCTTTTTATCATTAGCCAAATCCTTTTATCACTAGCTCAATAATTAGCGACATATAAAGGAGCAGTTGGTACAAATGAAAAGCATGAATTTTATTAAAAATGCTCAATTTAAGTATAACATAATTTATATATATATATATAAAATGTATACTACACATACATTAAAAGGAATAAAGTTATTACAGACAAATAATGCATCCTGGTGTTGTCACCTAAATATGCTATTACTAATCTTTAATGGTAAATGTCCTGGGAAAGCACTGGTAAGGGCTGCATGTTCGATATTGCTTGGGATCTATAACTATACACGTATAACTGTTATTATTGTTGTAAGTTATATACTCCAGGCAGATTTTCTTTTCCTACAAAGGTAATGTGAAAGGCTGATGTGCCTCAATAAGTGTCTTGTTGCTAATAGTTTGATCGCACATTTTCTTCCTTTGTAAAAAAGAGCCTTAAACTGTTAACACAACACTTATCAACTCAATGAGGAAAAAGACAGAACAATGCATCTGCAGACAAAATCAAACCTGGAAAAGAAAATTTTATGAAAACATATTTTGCTAAAAAGTAGTATATGACCAATATAATGGTTATTCTCAGTATAAAGAATACTTCACAGCAGTAGCATCAGTGTTGCAGGCTCTTTTCTTATAGAGAACCATATAATGAAGCAGAAGTGGAGTTTTATTTTAAGCCACTCTTGGTGTAATTTTGTCTTGTATCAGGCAGTTATCTCTATGGTTTGATGAGAAAATGTATGTGAACTGTCTTGCACCCAATGAAAACGTCAGGTTCTGGCACTCTCATCAGTTGCTCTGTGTAGTTTAACCTGTGTTTGTGAGAATATCTACCTTCTTTATTGTACGAACATGTTTTTTAAAAATCTCTGAAGATACTATAGAAGACAAAATGTTATGTACTCACTCAAACCAAGAGTTTTTAAAATCTCTTTAGAAACACATTATATTACATAAAAAGCTGTTTCCTTTCTTTTTCTCATCCCTTCTGAAATTCAAGCAGTTCACAGAAGATCTAACCTGGGTATTCCTGAGGGAAATTTTGAATGTCCATGTATTTGTGTTCCCCGACGCAGTTTTTCCATGAAAGTTGGCATAGGTTTAGCTTCATTTACCTAACTTTGCAAAGGAAAATGTTTTATATTGAGTGATGTATCAGTTTGAATTTTTTTCAGCAAGTCTGATTGTGTAATATCTGGTTTCCTTGGCACTTTCAGAGCAGAAAAGTGATAACCACAAAGGCCATTTATTTTCCCAGTGTCTTTTTGAAACAATCATGAGAAAAGATCTTGGAAGTATTTACTGTGTGAGTAGGGTTTGTGTTCTTCAAGAGTGACTAAAGTTTTGCTACTGAGAATTTGAAAATCCTGATGGACTTGGAAACCCTTTGGAAGTCCTCTGTCACTGAAGCACTGAACGATAAAAAACTAAGTGGCCATGTAAAGGGAAACACTTTGAGAATGAAAGTAAAAAAAACAACCAAAACCAACTTTAGCTTTCACCGCATATACTGCAAAAGTAAATTTTATTTTTTAGTACATGTTTTGCTGTCCAATTTTCTTTCCACTCTAATGTATACTAAAACAAACCTAGTACTTTTTCATAGTTTTAATATGGCCTTCACATGTGTTTGAGTGTGCCCTAGAAGAAGTCACAGCAAGTGGTTTATTTGTGATTTTTAAATAAATGTGCAGAGTAGCAGTGGAACAAATAGGTATTAGCTCTGTTCTTAAAATTGTGTGCAAAATAACTAATCTGTCTGCCATCTCACAGGAAAAAGGCATTGTAAACAGGTTCTTTATTATTTATTGAAAGTTGAGAGCATACTTGTGTTATGTGAGCAAGACTTTCTGCTGAGGTGTCCTGGTTTGAGACCCCTAAAATTTAATTCTTGAGTTCAAGCCCCCCTCCTACATCTCAACCCAATGTGAGACAGGTTTTCCAGACACTACACAAGACTCAATATGGGGGAAAGGGAATTATATTACAATCGCTGTACAAATAAATATTACAATACATCATATACATAATCTTAACTATCTCTCCTATCATAAATCAGTATTTACAATGGATCAACCTCTTCTCCCTCCAATAAAAGTCCAGAAGGGAAAAGGAAAGATCCTTTCCACTCTCAGGGCAGCAGCCTCTCTTCCATGCAGCAGCTGTGGTTGGATTGTTGTAGCTGGATCTCTTTCCAGTACACACAAGAGGTCTCCTCTCCCCCTCTCAGCCCTTTGGCTCCAATCAAAGGTCTCTCTCTCTTCCGTGGACTGCGGTAACCAGGACAAAGGTTCGCCTCACCACATCATATCACGAAGTGCGGGGGTCTTCGTGACAGTCCCTTTCCTCAGGGGATTCACCCCTGGGTCAGAACGTCTCAGACAGCTTTCAGTTGAAAAACCTTTGCCTCAAGAGTTCTACCAGAGCTCCGGTGCTCTGTCTCATAACTGTCAGCTTGGCAGCAGCAGCAGCAGGGGGGGACAAGGTCACCCTCTCTGCATTCCGTCTGGCCGTCCCGGTCCAGCTCTGCGACGTCTTGAGCTTCTTAACTCCTCTCTCTGGTGCATGCTGCACTCCAAGACTCCTCTCAAATAGGAGTCCATCTCCTCCTCCTCTCTAGGAGGTCTCAGAGGGGTTTGGGGGGTTTGTTTCAGTTTTTACCCCAAATTCTCTCTCTCTTTAGAGCTCAGTCCTGCTCTGTTTCTCTCTGTTAGAGATCTCTGTGTCTTCCTGCTTGGCCACAGGCCATCTCTGCTGCATCTTATCTCTTTCTGGCTCTCTGCCACGGTCTCTCCGTTCACTGCTTGCTCTGCCGCCGCTTTTCAGTATCTCCTGCTGCCCACTCACAGTGGAGAAAAACTCCTTCAGCTTTCTAGCTACAAATACTTGGCCCAGTCTAACACTGTTCCAAGCTCCTGCAGCCCCCCAACCGGGCTCCGGGCCCCTTCTCCTCATGGCCTTACAACATGGCCACCTCTCTCCAACAACTACAACATCCTTCTTTTCTGGTCTGCTTGTGATATGTTTATATTTTGCAGGAGCACTCATTGGCTCAACCCCAAGGGACACCACCCCCTCAGGGGTTACTATGTTTTTTAATTCCAGGGGGAAAACTTTTTTTTCCCCCACCACATGAGGGCAAGTACTGACCTCACATATATTGAGAAGGGCTGTTTGCTCATTTACCATAGTAAAGGTTTGAAAGTTCAGTTAAATCAAATGCTGCTTATTCACAGCCTTAAAAAAAAAAAAAAAGGGAAGATAGAAAGAAAAAGAAGGAAAAAAACCCCACCGAACAACCTAGTCTGTAATTAACAACATTATGATGAAGATTGAAGGTTTTATGTTGCCTGTGAGAATGTTGTAAGTAGTATCACATTGAATGCAGAACACGTTCTTAGTTTATGCATGGGCTTAGTGTATAGAGATATTATTAGCTTAGTGTATAGCAGATATAATTGTATATCCATTGTCTGTGACATATAAGAGAGGAACAAAATTAAAAATGCTTAGCTGTATGGTAAAAGTCTTGGCCACATGGGAAGAAACATAGTGAAATAATGTGGGGTCCTACATGTTCGTAGAACTTCACTAACACCAATGTTATAAAATGCTGGTATTTTGTTCACATTAAAAAGGGGTAACTAATTCATACCCCATCAGACTCTCTGTTTTAGTAGCTGTTATTTATTTTCTTCACATTATGTGTTTTACAGCAATCCAGTTGCTGTGAGCAAGAGTATCCTCAGAAGATAGAAATATCTTCTTTTCATTTTTTTAACATTATAAAGTTAACAAGAGAAAAAGACCCTTCTATCTGTAAAAAATATTTTCTTAGCAAACACAATTGGTAGCTAAAATGGATGCAGAATAAATCTCTGTTTATTCACTCTGAAAGAAACTTGGATGGTGACTCTGGGCTTTACAGATCAATGTAATTACCATATCTCAGACAGTTGCAGGGGATGATTACTAGAATAATCACACGGGGGTTTTTAGTTTGCTGGGGATTTATTCCTTCTTATTTTGAGGAGGATACAATTACTTTAAAAATCATCGATGCCTCAATCTTTAGCATTCTCACCATTGCAATATCTGTCTGATGAAGTGAGAAAGACCTTAGACCTTGAAGAGTTTGGAAGAAAAATACGAAGATAAAAGTACCTTATTCGTTCACTCCATTTTACTACTCTTTCTGCCAGTTTGAGAAAAATTGGGTCTTACTTTAAAGCCTGTGTTAGAAGTGGTGGTGAAAATAACCCTCAGTAATGTTTTATTTGTGTAATTAGATGTCTGATATTGCAGTAACTCTGGATGATCCCATCCTGTTCTGTTCACGATTCCTGTTTTGGCTGTCATAGTCTCCAGCAAATGCGCACAGAAGAAAATAATTTTAGTAAAAAGATAACCATGTTTTCGTTCTTTTTTCTTTTAACTGCATCTGATTTAAGGTAGAGGAATAGAAGAATCTGTTTTCTTCCACTTCACTCTTTCTTCTTTGGTTTATTATTAATTTTAAGCGTTACTGTTACTGGCTTATAAATAAGTGCTAATGACATAACTGTGGGCGGTACAGGAGAAGCAGACTGACATGGATCTCCTGTTTTTTCCAGATGAGGATAGGCATTCACTCAGGTTCAGTGCTGGCCGGTGTTGTTGGCGTAAGAATGCCACGCTATTGCCTCTTTGGGAACAATGTCACCCTTGCAAGCAAGTTCGAGTCAGGAAGTCACCCACGCCGCATCAATGTCAGTCCCACCACGTACCAGTAAGTCCTCTTAGCCTTTTCATAATCTGTCTTTCAACCTGTTTTGAGTTTGATCTTGTTACATGCTGTGTCCTCAACACATGAACTTCAACAGAAAGTCATCAAGGCACCAGGACAACTGGAAAGAGGTGTTACATGGGGATGTTCGTCTTTCTTTTGCAGGTTTGCATCAGAACGTGCAGAGAAGTCAGGCAGAGGAGACAAGGAGGCACAACAGAACAGCTAGCCATTTCTGCCTAAAATAGCATGTAACAGAAAAAGTGGGAGATATTTCCCAAAGCATGATAGTTTTGTGCACTATTACAGCTTTTGGCTAAGGATTTGAGTTCCACCCACTAAACACAGTTCATGAAAGTAAGGATATTCCCATTGGCTCTGAAGAAAGTCTCTAATTTTGCCAGTAAGGCCAAGCTTTCAAAGAATTTTTATGCTTTCTTGAAGACAAAATTTCCTATTTAGTACTTTATAGAGACATATTCTTAACGTAGGAAAAAAGATTGAAAATGGTAAAGCATTATCCCTATTTCTTTGAAAAAATTATGCAAATAGAGAGAAGGCTTGATTAAATCTGGTTATGAGGAACAGCTCCTAAAATAAAGTGTTCCTTATTGTTCAAATTTGACAGTTTGATTATTAGAGTTTCTACTGATTGGACTACAGCTGATGTACTCACTTTTTTTTGGCAGGAGATCTCAATCTTGCTCTTTTTCAGTGTTTTATATCCAAAGTAATTTTCTGAAGTAAGGTTTTGCTCAGGTTTTGAAACTGTGTGGTAAATCTGTATACAGTTGTTGAAACAATATTGCTTTTCTTTAGTTTTTTTCCTATTCAGAACTTTGAATATCAATTTTTTCCTATACTTATCTACGTAAATAAAAATTTCAAATGGGATTTCTTCCTCCAGAATTGAAGTGTCTAGTGTGCTAAAATATGAATCAGTCAGAAACTAAAGTTAAAAGTAATAAAACTAGTGCATAAAATGGCATTCTTCTGAAGATCCCATTCACTTGAGATCAGATTTTGAGAATGGAGCAAGTGTAGCAAATTGAACAAGAGGCAGAATAACTGAATAGGCTTTCTATCATAAAGTGAACAGACATAGATTGATAGAGTTGTCTGGTAACATGCAAGAGAAAGACCCAATCTACTATTGTTTATAGAAAATGTTTTCATTTAAATAAAAATAAATTCAATAAATATAGAGGAAATTTCTGTTTGCAACTTGGTGTCATTTGAAAAGAAATTGTCCTTGGGACCTTTCAGATAGCGTTCTACTGCTTTTGGTTCTGGTCTTCCCCTGTGGGATAGGAGAAACCCTGTAAAACATTGTTTGAATAATCAGCATGAGATTGTTCACCAGGTGGGTGCCGGTTATAAAAGTTACAAAGTAGCAGGGCCTTTGGTGTTAATTTTACGCAAATGAAGGTATGTGTTCTGGCAAAAAGCAACCAAGGCCCTATGACAGGGACCTGAACTTTCCTTGAACAGGATCAGTTCTTAAAAAGGAATGTTCTCCAACCTGAGGTGGTCTTCAAGTTATTCTGAAAGTGCAGTGCATACTTTTTCAGAAGAGATCGTAGTACTTCACAAATGTGGTTCAGGGGGGTGATTTCACTCAAGGCTATGGGTGTTGCTTGCTCATATTTCTGTCCCTGAGAGAAGAAATTGGTGAGTTAGGCAGTTTTGTGGAAATATAACAAATGTACATTTGGGGAACTAACGATCACAAAACTCCCTTTTTTCATGCTGGAACCAGAGTCACTTTCAGTGTACGAATGCCAGTTCTGTAGAGTTTGGTTATGAGTGATATGGCACCTCCTCTGTGACACACAGATTTGTGGTCACTGTTGAGCAACCTGATCTAGTTGATGTCCCAGCTCATTGCTGGGGCATTGGACTAGATGGCCTTTAAAGGTCCCTTCCAACCCAAACTATTCTATGACTCCATGGTTGCTTTTTTTTTTTCATCACATAAAAAATTTGTTCTGAAATCTAGTTTGTGGGCTTCTATATGGAGTTTTTTAGAAATCTGTGCTTTTATGCTGCCCTTTATCTGACTCCTAGTGCATTGTAGCACAGAGAAGATGGATTCTGTCACCTCTACCTGGCTACCATTGGTCATACTGTACCATAGCAAGTCAAATGTGGGTAACCTGGGTTTGGAGAGCATTCTTACTAGGTCTTAGATAGCATAATATGAGTCAGATTTTCTCACCTTGTGTTTCTTCCAGGTTGTGTCAAAAAAAGGGCTATGGGTTTTTTTCACTTCCCTTTAATCCTAGAAATCCAGTAGGAATATGACCATTTGTTTCATGATGGCCAAATTTTCACCTCATATGACTATTATGTCTATGCTTATCTTCCAGAAAGTTACAAATTTAGACTGTCGCTTCTAAAAGAGAAGACAATAGAAAAGTAATTGGCATTGTAATAATGCTGTAACATAAAATTGCAAAACAAAACACAGCAAAATATGGAATTATTGGTATTTATCTGCATTTTTTGTACTCTGGAAACAATCTGCTGTTATGTGCTGAACAAAGTCAGTGCTTGATTCAGAGAACTTTAAGTGCAAACAATAAACTAAACACATGATTACAGGTAAAGGAAGAAAAAATGCCAAAAAATGTGTTTGAATAAGAGGCAGTTATCGTTCAAGGTAAATGGCTAAAAGTAGTGATGATCAGGCTAGGAGCAATTTTATATTACAGGCTTCAGGGATTACATGAGAAGATAAAATGAATGTGCATGTGGCAACTTGAAAGGGCTATTTCAAACCATACCTTCAGGCATGGTTGAAAGCTTGAAAACAGACAGGGAAGAAGTAAAAAAATGACACTGCTGACACAGCAGCCAGGAGAGACTGCAATTACAAAATACTCTAAGGAGCAGAATTATTCGGAGCTGCCGAAAGTGATCTAGGAGGTTTGAACGTAATATCCTGGTATTGTCCAAATAAACAAGTAGTGATCTGATACATCTTTATATTACTTTTCTTGAATATAATTTACATGAGTACACTGTACACAAATAAAGTGATTCATCACAAACTGAAATGCCTTTATATTTGACTTTGTATTCTATTAAATGCTTATATTTATTATACTATGCTGCTGTGTACTCAGTTAATATTTCTATTATCTAGGAAGCAATGTTTTCCACAGTACATAATTCTGCAATCAGTATGAAAATAGTAGAATTTTCGATTAAATGAAACTACTGGCATACAAGTTTTGTGCTTATAAAGTATGCAGATACTAGAAACTTGTCCAATACTTGTCAGCTTTTGTTTTACAGTAAAGTTTATGCATCATAAAGCGTCATTAGCATTCAAATAATAATCACACTTCGGAATACCTATTATTGATTTCAGACACTTCTCTGCAAGCCTGTAATCTGCCTAAGTAAGAATCATAGTCTAAAATTATAAATACAAGATGTGATATTTGTTGCCTAGCAGCAACACTGAACCTGGGGCAGCCTCACTCCAGTTACACCTGCCTGGGCAGAGCTCTGCAATATGTGAAACAGCACCTTTTAAAAAGGCGGACTTAGAATCTATTGAATCTGAAACCTCACTTCTGTTTGAAATACCTTGTTCTCTAAACTCAGACAGGTCTTTTGACAGAAGGATCACAGAGCCCTGTTTGCTTTGAATCACTGAGCACTGTGAAATGAAATCACTGAAACAGCACTGGTAAAACTTCCAGTGGAACATGTGGAAGCTGGAGAGGAAGTAGAAGATCTCAAACTGGTCTCTGTTTAAACATGTGGACAGGAAGGAATAGGAAAAGAATCAGCTGAGGGTTTATTTAATTCATCCACTTTATCCTGAATTGAATAGAATTACCCTATTTTCCATATTCAGGAAGGAAGCACAATAAGATTTATAAAACTATTGAGCACAGAAGAGAGATTAAATATTTTTTAATTATTTGTTTCAGTCTTGAATAATTATTTTTATGGGATATTAATATAATATACCAACATTCATTTTTTTTTCTAGTTGTGTTGCAATGTAATGTCTTGAGATTTCTAAAGCAGTTATGAAAAGCAGGTAAACACAATTGTTGCTATTTATCAAGTTTAAAAAGAAATTATTTTTCTTCCTGATCTTTCTACCTCTGGTCTTTTCCATCATGCATTTCCCTTGTGGAGAATGTGCTTCTGAAATTAAGTGTTGCATACAGATACTTTCCATTATCATATGCTGGGTGATACATCTGGGATCTGAGCTTAGGCAAAGTTGAACAGCCTGCATCCCATATCTTTATCTTGATTTAGGAGAGAGAGCAACCCAAGTGTACCTCCCTATTCAGCTGGGTGAGGTCACTGTGTGTTCACTTGCCTAAATTACTTCTCAGCCTTTAAAATTGATTAAACCCTGCAGAATTTATATGTTTTTAATAGTTATTTCACAGAAAGTTGTATGAAAGAAGTTTTAGGTAATTAGAGAAGTAATTCTATAAACTCCTTATAGATTTTTTCTAATCATATTCTTTTTCTTACAGCTTATGTCTATATATATAATACTTTTCCTACAGGTTATATCTATATCTACATCTATATTTTTCTGCCTCGTATGGACAAACCAATGGGTTTGCTCTCTAGGAAGGCAGTGCATAGTTTCCTTTGCTGTAGTGTGTTTTATTTATTTTAGAAATATTGTTCAAATTTGATCTATACAGACTCTGATTCAGATTCAGTCTTTTCAGATTATTTTGGAGCATTCTTTAAAAAACTGTTTTTATGTTGTTCAGTTAACTGTGTATGCTTTCAAGAAATGTTGAGGGGAAGACAATTTAGTTATGGACAGAACTGGTACACACCTTATACATGGACAGAAAAAATTATTGTTAGTCTAATTACAGTATTAAAAGTGTAGACAAAATGTGCTGGTTTATTCTTGGGTTTCTGTTCCCAGTGTCATCTGCTTCCATGAGGCTGCACTCCCCCGTAGTGGGTGTGATTATGGTCCTGGGGCCTCTGCTGCTCAGCCA